GAAAAGAGAGGGCTGCCCCAGCATACCCGCCAGCCAGGAGCAGGGCATGGACTCCAAAATCAAGAGAGGGCTCCAAAACCCCAAAGATCTACATCAAAGCCACACGATGCCATTCATTTTGCTGGGTTCCCGGTTCCCACAGCCGGGGAGCATTGCTGCTGGCCATTCCCCGTGCCTGAGTTAGGCGGGCGAGGGCAAGACAGGCTGGTCCAAGCCTGGTGATGTGGCTGCAGCTTCTTCCAGCAACACCTGTGACTTGTTCACCATTGCTCCTGCGTGATTCATGCGTCTGAAATCGGGGCTTGGCTGTGACTTTCCTGGTGAAATCTCCCCTGGACAAGGATGGCGGCATGACAGCAGGAGATGGGCCCATCCCTGCAGCCTCAGGGCAGCCGGGTATGGGGTGATGCCTCAGGGGCTGCACAACCCTGTCCCACCCCGGTGAGCAGCTTTGGGGGTGAGATGCAGATCCCCACTGGGTTTTCCAGCCTTGGACAAAAAAAAAACAACTTCTGCTGCTTTTTGGGGAAGGATGGCATCTGGGCAGGAACCAGCCGAGCTCTGCAGAGGTGGTGGTGGTGGAGGGTGCAGACTATGAGCCACCTTTTCCTGGGGCCAGGCGAAGGTGGACCCATCTCAATATAAACCACCTCTGCAAGAAGCTGGGGAAGTCCCGAGTGGCCGGGGCCGGGCAAGGACCTTAAAAAAGGAAACAGCACACGCGGGGTTATCTTACAATCAGCCCTGGCAACGTAACAGAAAAACTGATCCCACCGAGACAGAGATTTAAATGGGAGAACAAATCCTTTACAGAAAACAGACCTGACCTGGCAAAGCTGCTTTGATCACATTCATGACTTTGGCTGCCCCAGCTGCAGCAGCTGTCCCGTCCCGCGGGCGCTGCACTTAGATCTTCCTCCCCCGGGGTTATCGATCAGCTGAAACGAGGAGAAGCGCAGCAGTGTCAATAAAGCATCTGCAAACATGGCTGGAAAAGCAACTCTCACCCAGGGGTGAGCAGCATTTCCAGGGGGGCTGTGCCGCCGAGCGGGTGTCCCAGCATGCCAGTCCTGCCCCAGTAGCTCTCTCTGGCAGCCCCAGCAATGCAGCGCTCTGTGAGACGAGGCTGGGGCTGGTTCTGAGCACGGAGAGTGACTAAGCATCGACACGCTCCCGGCAGAGGCGGTGGTTTCCCCAGGAGCTGCTTTGCTCCTGAACAGAAAGCATGACACGGAGAAATCGTAGGGAGCAATGCCTGCCTGGGGCAGCCAGGGGGTGGCCATGGGGTGGCTGGGGCTGCAGCATCCACCTCTGCCCCCCGGGCACTGGGACATCCTCGTCCCCCCCAGCAGTGAGAGATCTGGAGCCCCTGCAAATTTTTTGGAGGGGGCAATGAGAGCTCAGCCCCCAGCAGGGTCCCAAATGCCTCTGCCAGCCCCCGGATTTGCCACCTTCCCCTGCGCTTCTTGGCAGCAGGAGCAGGATCTGTCCCATATGTTTTGCAGGCGCCAACACATCTCACCCCCACCGCGGGGCTCAGCCCTTCACCAATGCTCCCACCACACCAGGGGTGGGAGGATGTAAGGATGAGGAAGCAGTTCCTGGGGTCCTCCACCTGAATCCCCTGCATTTCCCGGAGGGATTTCCCCAGCCATGGGATTTCTCAGCAAGCAAGGGTGATAAAAGCCTTTTTTTTTTTTGCAGAGCCCCAGGATGCCATGCTGCAGCCCTCAGAGAGGGGGCAGGTGGAGATGGAGGCTGGTGGCCTGTCCCCAGTGGCTCTGCTCTTTGCCAAGCTCTGCTGCCAAGCCTGGAGCCAGAGCTGTGAGTGCTGGCAAGGAGCCCACCGTGAAACGGGGGAAGAAAGGGAGGAAAAGGGTGTTTTTCACCCCAGACCACATGCAGGACCAGGGGACCTGAGGGGCCACCCAGAGCAGAGACTGGATCCACTCATCACAGCAGTGGGTCCACCCATGTCCTGTGCCCTTCTTTGCATCGAACATGGGAGGGCTGGTGAGGTGGAGGAGGGTGAAGATCAGTTTCTCCTAAATTCATCAAGAGCCACAGGAGCACCTGGTTTTGCCTCTGGCCCCTTTAATCCCCTATGGACATCCCTGGCTCCGGTGCCAGGTCTGTGCACACCCAGTAAAGCCCCATCCTGGCCCATGTGGGGAGGGGAAAGGGGGATATTCTTCCTGGCACAGAGGCGAGCCCTGGGGACCCAGTGGTGCTCAGGGGCTGCCTGCTCCAGGGGCCCAACCAGGGCTGAAAAGCCCTTGTGCTCTAAAATCCCCCATCCACAGGACCCGCTTGCTCCATGGGGCAGGCACCAGCACTGGGGATCGGGATGGAGGGATGCTGCAGGTGCTGGGAACATCATCCCCAGAATTCCCCGGCCTGATGTATCCCAGCGTTTTTCATGGGAGTCTTTAAAAGGGGTCTTTCTCAGTCCAATAAACCCTCTTTTGTTTTCCTTGTGTTTCTGTTTCATTTTCTTATTGCAGGGAATATTTTCTACCCTTAGGAGGCCACATTTATCACAACTGGGCCAGGACATCCTTGGTGCGTGGGGGTAAGACGAGGGATAAGAGGGAAAAGCTGGATCCAGGAAAGCAAAGGCGAGCCAGGCAGCTGCACCGGACCAGGACCAGAGGCTTCCGCTTTCCTCCGCTCCCCAGGGTCTCCCCAAGGAGAGATTAAATGGGAGTTGGGGCGATGACAGGAAGGTGCTCTGCTCTGCCAGCCAAGCATGGAAACACGAACCCCACCTTGTCCACACCTGCCAGCCCCGGGGCATCACCCAGCCCTGCTTGCTGCACCCCACTGTTACCCAGCACGTGCACACCAAAAAATGGAGGCTGATTTCTGGGAAACGGCTTTGGAGAAGAGAAATGGAGGGACATGTACAGACCAAAAAATGGAGGCTGATTTCTGGGAAATGGCTTTGGAGAAGAGAAAAGGAAGGACATGTGCAGACCAAAAAATTGAGGCTGATTTCTGGGAAATGGCTTTGGAGAAGAGAAATGGAGGGACATGTATGGTCCCACCGTGGAGGTGGCCTCTGTTCCCATTGGGGCAGGTCTCCCTGCCTAGACCAGCACCCCATGCCCTCCCCTGCCAGGTCTCCATAGCAGGGCTGCACTGCAGCCCAGAGTGGCCAAAACCCCGTCAGGGTGCCATAAGCGTCCCCAGCCCTGCACGGTGGGACGTGGCTGCCCACACAGCTGGGCTGGCGGGGATGCGCGTCTGCATCTCCCCTCTGCTTCCCACCATCCGCCAGCTGCCGGCAGCTGGGATGTGCCCCGGGATTTGTCAGGGCTGGGGGGAGAGGGGGCTTTTTGGACAGCTGCAGCCAGGCAAAATACACTGGGGAAGCCCCAAACTGGCCTCTGCCTTTCTCAGCTCAGCATGGCCAAGAACATGAGCTGCTGCTTTGGCGCTGGGTGGAAGGAAGCGGAGCCACCTGCCTGGCCTCTCCCAGCCCTGACAGGCCCCAAACACCCCCAAAACCAGCACAGAGCTGTGTACATGCCTGGTGCAACCGAACAAAAGCTGTTTCTCTATGGCTTTTTTTAGGGGGGGATATTTGGCCATTTGTCCCCTGGGCTGGGATGCAAAGCAATAGGAGGCAAAACTTTGCAGTGCAGGGGGAGGGCATGGACCGTCGGGAGCATGTGTGGCTGCTGGGGACCCTGCAGGGTGCTGAGCCCAGCCCTGGTCCCATCCAAGGGAGATCCGCAGACCCTCTTGTGCACCCTGGGGCTCCTGCCACAGGACACGCAGCCTGCCCAGGGGACGGGGGTGTGGAGGCAAACTTTGGGAGCAACCCTGCCACCAGCCCTAATGCTGGAGGCAGGAGCTCAGGAAAAATCCCAAGCCCATTCAAAAGCACAGCCTGGAAGCAGGATTTTCCCTTCCCGGGGCTGTGCTGGGAGGGGATGAGTATTGCTCACCCTCTGTGCTTTGGGACTTGGCAGTGGACCAGGTCCTTCCCCTGCCCACGCAACCACTGGCCCTGGGGGAAGCCAGCCCTGCTGCTTCCCCATAAAAGCAGCCCGGTGGCCCTGACCCCGGCAGACGGCAGCTCTGCCCCGGCACCACTGAGCAGCCCTCCTGCAGTCCGGTATGGCGAAGTTGGCCGGGGTGGTCTGCGCCCTCCTCCTCCTCGCTGCACTGTGCTGCCAGAGCCTGGCTCAGAGTAAGCACTGCCACCTGCTCCGTCCCTGCAGGCTGCGGGATGGGGACAGCCGCCAGGGCCGTGGGGATGGGTTTGCTTTGTGCATGGGGTGCAGGGGGGCTGTCAAAGAGCTGCCATGCCCACAGCGTGAGGGCTGAGATGGGAGGTGGGGGGTCTCCAAGCTAAGCTGAGCTTGCGCTGTCCCCCCAGGAGCCCCGGCTGTGCCAGACAAGTGCTGCTTCAACTTCCAGACAAGAAGGATCAAGAGAGACAATGTCATCGCCTGCTACTCCACCAGCCCTGAGTGCCCTCACCAGGCTGTGATGTGAGTACCCTAAACCCAGCCCTGGGGGTAAAGCCCCTCTAGAACCTGCCAGACCCCGTGCCTTGCTTTGGTGGGTCCCTCGTGCTCTGTGCCTCTGAGCCCCTCAGAAACTCATCGTCGGGGTCCCTGTACCACCATCCCACTAACCTCATCTTCTCTCTGCCCCAGCTTCAGGGTGAGAGGCGGGAAGGAAATCTGCACCCAGGCGAGCAGGCCCTGGGTGAAGAGGTACCAGCAGAGCTTCCAAGTCAGCTCCCTCTCCATCCCCAGCTAGGGGGGCGGCCGGAGGCAGCGCGGGGAGACCCCTCCATGGGGGACAGGACACCATGAAGAGGTGGCTGTGGGGACACCACATTTGGACATAGCAGCTCGTCGGGTACATCCTCCGCATCATGCTTGTGACCACCCTCACCGCCTCCCCAAAGACAAAGAGCCTTTGCCATCCTTGTCATCCCACTGGGATGGGGTGTGCTGACCCCACGGGGCGCCGGGGTCCAGACCCGCTGCCAGCCCCCATGCTCTCAGCCCAGCTTTGCACACAGGCAGCTGCCTGTACCCCTCACAGGCAGCAGCAGTGTGTCAGTGGGGCTGCGCTCACCGACCTGGCAGTAGCAGAGGGGTTAACGGGGAGCAGCTCCACAGTTATTTTTTGTACAACACACTGAATAGAATTAAACGTGATCTCATTCATGCAAACGTCTGGCTGTGCAAGTGTCTTGGGAGTGGGCAGATCCTGCTGCCAGCTTTCCTATCCGGGTGTTAAATCACATCTGTAAGTGCCGGGGTCAGTAAAGAGCTGGGGAGTGCCAAAGCCCCAACCATGTCTCTGCAAGGGGGTGGGGGGGGGTGCATGGGGCCAAACCATGTCCATGCAAGCTTTGTGGAAGCCACCAGTGAGAGGGGCAAGAGGCAGGCACAGCCGATGAGGATGGGGCTTCCCATGCTCCTCGTCAGCCATCCTAATGAGCGGAGACCTCTGGCCCAAATTCCATCAGAGGTGCCCCTCGGAGATGCCTGGTTGGGTCCCACTGACAGCCCACACCCCTGGGATGCCACAAGATGTGATGGGCACTGCCAATGTAACAGGCACCATGATGGGCACAGCCGCCGCAATGGGCACAGCCACCATGATGGGCAGCCAGTGATGGGTCTCGGGGTGGGCTGGGACGAGCCCGGGCACTGCCGAGCCACTCACCCTGGTGCAAAATTGCAAGGGAGGCATCACAGCTGAGCTGACAATGAGTGGTTTTTGAAAATAAACTCACCTGGGGCTTTGGCAAGTGCGAGCATCATCCTGTGTGGTTTGCTGGGAGCAAAAACCAAGCCCAAAATAGACTGCTGGCCCCAGCGCATCACCAGTGGCGCATCACCAGTGGCGCAGAGCTGCCGGCTGCTCGCCACAATTTCCAGCAGCCCTCGGGTACTGCAGGGCCCGTAGGGGCCAGGGGAAGAAATTTCCGTTTACTGGTTGCCCTTTATCAATATCTCTGAGCGGTTCTTTCCCCGGGGAGAGTCCAAAGCTGTCATGGAAAGCCTGGTGGGGGGTATATCATGCCGAGGTGCAGGCAGGAGAGGCAGGTGGCTCTCAGTGGCCTCAAGTCAGCAAGAGCTGCTGACTGCTCGCTGCTGGCACTGACCAAGCTGCGGGTTGGACATGAAGGTCTTCTCCTTGGCCCTGCTCACCCTACTGCTGGCGGCTCCCTGGACTGGAAGCCAGGGTGTCTCCTGTGAGTATCGACACAGAGGTTTTCCCTATGGCTGCCCCGGCACGATCCCCAGCTCCTCCACTGAAGGGATTTTGGGGGGACAGGGAGGGGGACAGGATCTTCAACTCCTGTTTCTGCCATGGGTTTGGGGGGCTGAGGGGCATCGCCAGCTGCCTGAGCACAGGGCTGTCCTGGTCTTGTTCAAAATGAGCAAATAGACTTGGGGGTGGCTTCAGCCCCGTCACTCCGGCTAGGGAGCTCAGTAATAACCTCCTGCAGGCAGGGAAATGGGGGGCTCCTACGCTGGGGCAAAGCAGCGCTGCCAGAGACGCGAGAGGGGAGCCCTTGTAGTGGGGGGGAGCAGGAGAGTCCCCGGGGAGCACCCACACCCCTTGGGGCAGGCATGGGAGAGCACCAACCCCTCTTCCCTCCTCTCAGTCCGCAGCCCCTACAGCGCATGCTGCTACAAGGAGATGTTCGTCCGGCAGAAAATTCCTGTCTTCCTCATCAGGAGCTACCAGGAGACGCCTTCTCGCTGCTCCCACAGGGCCATGCGGTGAGTACCCCCAGCCCTCGCCAAGCCTTCCTCCCTGGCACCCCGCTCCTCAGCCTTGCTCATCCACCTCCTCTACCTGCCTTCGGGGATCCCCCAAAACAAGCCACCCCCAAAGGGTGCCTTGGGTGGAGGTGCCCTACCCTGGCTCTTCACCTGCACCTCCCTCCTCACTGTTTTATCCCAAATAGCCCCAGAATCCCCCGTTTCAGCTACCAGCCAGAAAAACGGGAAGGAAACCAAAGTTTCAGAGACTTCTCTGAAAGTCAGCACTTTCTGGAGATGTGGGGGGTGGGATGCTGCAGGCATCCCCAGGCTGGCGGGGGAGCAGCAGGGCACAGCCGGATCCTGCACCTCCTCAAGCTAACACAGCCCCTCTCTCCCCCGCAGTGTTGAGATGCTGAAGGGGAGGAAGTTCTGTGTGGACCCAGAGGAGCACTGGTTCCAGCAGTACCGGTTGCAGGAGTAGTCAACCAGCGCCTCCACGTGAAGCTGCCTTCCATATAAGCTCTATTTATTTGCATCCCACTATTACCTGTACATTCTCAACTCATTAACTTATGGAGCTGGCTCCATCCCCTCCCCTGCCATCGCCCCCTCCACACTACTGTACATCCCTCAACAGGTTTAATAAAACATCTTGTGTTGACCTGCAGCTGGAGTGAGACAATGTAAATCCTGTGGGAGAAAACAGGGGTCACATCAGGGCTCAGATAAGTTGGGATTTGACTCCTGGCAGTCGTTTTCTGCCAGCAACAGCGGCAGTGGCTGGGGGTGTCCATGCCATGGCACCTGAGCTGGGCTGGGCTCTCCATCGGCAGCGCAGTGCTGCAGCCCCCCTGACACAGTGACGCTGCTGGGGCTGTTGCAAAGCAAATCCCTGCCTGGAGCTTGCTGGTGTTGCTTCATGGCTGCCTGCTTGGGATTGCCTCAGGACTCTAGCCATGGAGCTTCGTGCCCCAGCCTGGCTCATGGCCAGTGAGGTCCTTGCAGCAGCAGCAGGGTCGGTGTCGTGGGCGTTTGGGCTCCAGCTGGTCCCCACCAGGCACCCAAATGGAATCTGAAAGTAACAGCGCAGTGGCTGGTGCTTCCCCTGTGGTGGTTTCCTTGTCTTCTCCAGCTCAGCAAAACTGGGTGATCCCAACATAGCTTCCCTGGTATGATGCATTAATTTCTTCTTTCCTTGAAACCCTGTGCCTGCCCAGCAGCCGGGGGATAAAAGGAGGGCATCGCCACACAGGCCGAGCATCGTGCAGAGGAGAGCCCTGCAGCCCCCCCAGCTCTAACCCCGCTTGCGGATTCCCTCGGCCTCCACAGCACCGTGAAGGTCCCCGCAGCTGCCCTGGTTGCTCTCCTCACGGCCACCAGCTCCCCGTCCAAGGCCCATCTCCATGAGTCCAGCGTTGCTGCGACCTCCCCGAGGCTGGGTGTGCCATCGCTCCACGGGAGCTGCCAGGGCAGCCGGAGAGCCCCATCCCCGTCAGCAGGGACCCTTGTGGCTGTGGGGAGGGCTGGGAGCAGGAGACCACTGCCAATGCTGGGACTCAGGCTTGGGGCCAGGGGTCTCCTGGGGGCCAACGCCAGGGAATATGACACACGGGGAGGGATGGGAGATGGCAAATCCCTGGGGAACCCTAAGCACCGGTGGGGTCAGAGACTGTGCTGTAGCCTGGGGTCAAACCAGGGCCCTCTGTCTGTCTGCCTCACAGACGGCATCCCCACCACCTGCTGCTTCAGCTACCAGCAATACCCTGGCCCTTGGGGCCTCATCAACTCCATCTGTATCACCAGCAGCAGCTGCACGCAGCCAGGGGTGATGTGAATACCCACCGCTGTGGGGGGCTCAGGGTGTGATGGCCGGGGCAGTGCCCCAAGGGTGGCCAGGAGGGGGACGGGGACATGGCTGGGGAAACCCGGAGTGCTGCCGGCAGGACCTGACGCAGGCACCCCACTGCCCCAGCCAAGCGCTCCAACGCTGGTTTTCTCCGGGCAGCCTGGTCACCAAGAAGAAGGAGCTGTGCGCGGACCCCCGGGCACCCTGGGTGAAGGTGCATCTGAAGCACTTCCAGACCCTGAAAAACTGACCCTTCCCTGCTGCTGCCCGCGATGCCCCCGCTGCTACACCCAGCGCGCTTGGCTTTCAGCCCCAGGCACACAAGAGAGTATTTGAACTGCAGCCTTCTTCAACGGGAAAAATTATTCTATCTGACTTATTTAAGTTAAACTAAATACTTTTGGCTAAGAAAAGGGAAAATGCAAAACTAATTTAAACTATATCAAAATAATAATTTAAACCAAAATAATTGAAACTATCACTATGCCTGTTAATGAAGAGTCAGGAGTTTCGATGCCTAAATAAAGTGGTTGTGCTATCAACCCCTTTGGGTGTCTCTGAAGTCCCTGCTGGAGCCCCAATGTGGAAGAAAGGACCCACGGGGACCCCCTTGCCCTCCCCACAACCTGGGTTCGCTGCTTCCCCTGGGCAGGGCAGCCTTGGCCCCACGGCCACTGCCGTGGTGCTTCCCCCTCCCCGGCGCGGGTTCAGCTCCGGTGTCACTCAGCACGTCCCCATGGGGTGACACCAGCCATCTCACCTGGGGCCGCCAGTGCCGGCTCCTATTTGGCAAACAGCCTGGCAGCACCCACGGTGCCAACAGGAGGGTTGGGGCCACCGCGGAGGCTCTTGCCCTGCAGTGCTCAGGCACATCAGCAAGCCCACGTGTGAAGTTCCAACTTTTATTAGTGAGGATTTGCAAGGTTCTGCCCTGCTGGACCTGTTGTTTGAGAACAGAGGTGGACTTGTGGGTGATGCAAGGGTTGGAGACCATCTTGGGCATAGCCATCACGAAATGATATAGAGTTTTCGATTCTTGGAAAAGGAAGGAGGGGGGTGAGCAGAACTGCCACCGTGGACTTCCAGAGAGCAGACTTTGACCTTCTTAGGAGCCCGGTTGACAGAGTCCCTTGGGAGGCAGTCCTGAAGGGCACAGGAGTCCAGGAAGGCTGGACGTGCTT